ATACATATATGATCAGACATTCCAGTGGGCAGGTTGTAGATATCACCCTTCTCAATGTCGTCGGATTTCTACTTCTTGATGAGCAGTCTAATTGAGGTCACCAGGTAGTGTATGTACTACAGTGTAGAGCACTAACTTATAGCACAGACTGACTGAAGATGTATTTAGTCCGTCGGTATTAGCTGTTCCCGTACAGTACCTGGGGATTAGAGCTGGGGCAGGCAGACGGTATCGATACGTATGGTATGGACAGGGTATGGGATGAGCCTCGGCCGATAAAGCAGCTCTCCCCCGATCGGCTTCTGAACATTGGAATTCCCTCTCGCTCGCTCTCGCTCCCCCGGATCACTGGGGGTTTCTCTTTCTTAAGATCTGCCCATCATCATTGTCTCTCTTCAAATACTTTTACCTTTCCTTCTCCCGATCTGTCTTCTGTTTCTCTTTCCCACCTCTTCTCATCTTATCCTCCATCCCCTTCATACACTCACTCACACACATCATGACGACTGCCCCCAGGATTATTGTAGTTGGCGGTGGATGTGAGTGACTCCGACTTAACCGTTTCCAGCTTTCCCCGCATTGCTGACCATTGCCTCGTCGCTCAGTGTCCGGTCTTAGTGCCGCCCACACCGTCTACCTCAACGGTGGAAATGTCCTCGTTCTAGACAAGCAGGGTGCGTTTTCTTTCCCTTCAAGAAGCGAGCGATAGGAATTAGGATCGCAGTTCGATGCCGCCATATTCTCTCTGTCCTCAAGGCTAACTCCAGACAGCCTTCTTCGGTGGCAACTCCACCAAGGCTACTTCCGGTATCAATGGCGCCCTGACCCGCACCCAGGTCGACTTGGGAATTCCCGACAGTGTCAAGACCTTCTACGAAGATACCCTCAAATCGGCCAGAGATAAGGCCCGTCCGGACCTCATCAAGGTCCTGACCTACAATTCTGCTTCCGCGGTCGAGTGGCTGCAGGATGTCTTCAACCTCGATTTGACGCTAGTCTCCCGCCTGGGGTGAGTTTTATCTATGAGCGGACCCTCTCTGTGACTTCGAGCCATCATGCTAATTCTGCGCAGTGGTCACTCCCAGCCCCGCACACACCGTGGTCACGATGCCAAGTTCCCCGGAATGGCCATTACCTACGCCCTCATGCAACGGTTAGAAGAGCTCACCGAGTCGGAACCCGACCGTGTCCAGATCATCAAGAAGGCTCGCGTTACCTCCATCAACAAGTCCGGAAACACTGTGACGGGTGTCACCTACGAGTACAACGGCGAGACGCACACTGCTGATGGTGTGGTCGTCCTGGCCACTGGTGGCTACGCTGCCGACTTTGGCGATGGATCCCTGCTCAAGCAGCACCGTCCGGACACCTTCGGGCTGTCCAGCACCAACGGCACCCACGCCACGGGTGATGGCCAGAAGATGTTGATGGAGATCGGCGCCAACGGAATCGACATGGACAAGGTCCAGGTGCACCCAACGGGTCTTGTCGACCCCAAGGATCCCACCGCCAAGTTCAAGTTCCTGGCTGCTGAGGCGCTCCGTGGTGAGGGTGGTCTTCTCCTGAACTCGGACGGTGAGCGTTTCTCGGATGAGCTGGGTCACCGTGACTACGTCTCTGGACAGATGTGGAAGGAGAAGGAGAAGAACAAATGGCCCATCCGCCTTGTGCTCAACAGCAAGGCCTCCAATGTGCTCGACTTCCACACTCGTCACTACTCCGGCCGTGGCTTGATGAAGAAGATGACCGGCAAGGAACTCGCCAAGGAGATTGGCTGCGGCGAGGCTGCCCTCAAGAAGACCTTCGACGACTACAATGCCATCGCCGATGGCAAGAAGAAGGACCCCTGGGGCAAGCGTTTCTTCCACAACCTGCCTTTCAGCATCGATGATGACTTCCACGTGGCCCTTATGGAGCCCGTTCTTCACTTCACCATGGGTGGTATTGAGATTAACGAGCACGCCGAGGTTCTGAACAGCGAGCAGAAGCCCTTCGAGGGTCTCTACGCCTGCGGTGAGCTTGCCGGTGGTGTCCACGGCGCCAACCGCCTGGGTGGCTCTTCGCTTTTGGGCTGCGTCGTCTACGGCCGTGTTGCCGGTGATAGCGCCAGCCAGTTCCTCTTCAAGCGTCTCCTCTCCGGTGGCGCGTCCACCGCTCAACAGCGTCTCGGCCAAATCTCCCTGCACATCGACCCGTCAACCCCGGGCAAGATCGCCGTCGAATGGACTGGAGCCGGTAGTGGTAGTGGTCAAGTCTCCGCGGCTGCCGGAACTCCTGCTGACTCCGTCCAGGCCGCGAAGTCTAGCGCCACCCCGGCGGGTGCCCCGGAGTCTGCCAAGCCCACCAGCCCGGCCAAGTTCAGCATTCCCGAGACGGAGTACTCCATGGAGGAGGTGGCCAAGCACAACAAGAAGGAGGACCTGTGGATCGTGGTCAAGGGTGTTGTATTAGACGTGACCAACTGGTTGGACGAGCACCCCGGCGGCGCCAATGCTTTGTTCAACTTCATGGGTCGCGATGCCACCGAAGGTTCGTTTTCTCTCTTGAGTGATGTTCAAGAAGAATGAGACTGACCATAGCTGCTTTAGAATTCGCGATGCTCCACGACGATGAGGTCATCCCCAAGTACGCAGCCCACATTGTGATTGGTCGCGTCAAGGGACAGACTCCCAGCCTAGAGCTGTGATTTGCGCGTTAGAGTCTGTTTTGTTTTTTTTGGATGAAAATGATCTTGCAGCCATGTTGATACATACCCTAGTCAGTCTTATTATTTTTCCGCTTTGCTTTGCTGTGATGTATGCATGCATGCATGCCTTCGATGGGGCTTAGACGTTTGGTTCTTTCTGCGGTGGTTGTAAAATACAAGCAGTATAGGACATCAATTGAAGGTTATTTTTGGACCGTTCTCTATGATTTGACCACTATAGCAAGTGCTTATTCTTCTATCCGATCCGATGTTGTTGCCATGTCGGGAGGCACAACTGCTGAGTCGAATGAATATCCCACGACTAGCTCAGATTGCCTTCTTGGGCAAAATCCACGAGGAATTTGACAGTGCATTACCTTGTGGTAGGGGGTGTATGTGTACATCATAAAGTGCTAGGATGATGATGTATTAAGATGAGTAGTGGGTGGGGTGGGGGTCACGCCTTCACAGGCAACTATAGCCCGCGCTCATTGTATGCAGGTCCGTCTAGGTTCCTGGGAACGAGTGACATTTGAAACATACCCTGACTGATGATCCTTGGCCCTTCTAGACCCCTCGGGTGGATTACAACGTGAAACCGGGTTCCTAGAGCGACTGTCTGGTGGATAGATCAGATAATTGCTTATGTTTAGCTCTACTGTCACGAGCGGAGTTGGTTCCATGATTCTCGATGCATATAGTAGCATGTTGGGCTTGTTCCCTTTTGGGCTCGTGTTCGGACAAGACCAGCTAGATGAAGCGATTGATTTGTTTCTTTTTCTTCTTGTTGGACAGGGATGGATGTCTTATACATGCATGGTGGCGGTGGTGAACATGGCTGTTGTTGGCTGGCTACGCTTATCTAGGGATCTTAGCTTGGTTCGTATTTGTTTCTTGTTTTGGCTCCTCTTTTGTTGTTGAGCCCGTCGCTACGTTCTTTCCATCTCGACCATACGAAGCAACTGATCGAATTAAGTAACACCTTGAGCTTTGAAGGGAGGCCTGGTAAGGCCAATCGAGATCGGTGCCTGACTCCACTTGCAATCTCCAACATGATTCGACCTATCTAGACCAAACATGATCATTGGTGGCTGTTTTCAAGTGGCCTGATCGCTTGCTTGCCAGGTGTGCCTGTGCTGACTTCCCCCCCGAGATCGATGCCCGGGATTTCCGGCCCATTCCGACGACGGCAAGACGCACGCGGGCCACGCCAGCCGCAACATACAACAGCAAAACAATACCATGCGGTCTTCGCCATTAATGAGTCCATCCGTCCTGTCTGTTCCTATTCCTGTCACTATCAACTATAATCCTTGAATACGACCCTCTCTGATTACCCCTCCAACCCTGTCATTCCTCCGGCGATATTCCGGCCTAGACAAACCTGCCCTCGGCCGAGCCCCTCACTCGTGTGGTTCGGGGATCGCCCCCTTATTACGATTCACACTACTGATCATCTCCGTTCATGAATGCTCCACCACCAATCCCACCCATGACTATGTCCATTCGACATTGTCCACCCAATTGCGGGGTGGGATCGGGGCAATGGTACCCGGCGCGAGCTGAAAAGCTGCTGGACCACTCGCAATCTCGAATCTGGGTCTAATGACAGGGGAAAGATTTCGCCTTTTTCCTGTGAGAGTGGGGGGCGCTTGTCTTTCGCTTCAATTCCATCTTAATCTATTTGCCGTTTGGTCATTGGGCCGCGACATGAGTCGTGCTCAACGCCGGTCTTTGATGGGGCAGGATGATGGCGGGTGGGATAGGAAAGTGGGCAGTGCCGACTGGAGAAAAATAATGGTGGGTTGTCCTGTCCTGTCCGCTCTCCCCTCGCGCAAGTCCGTGGAGATAGATGAGCGTATGCTCGGAGGTTACGTTGGATGTGTGTACCTGCTGTAGCGGTGGTCCTGTGGAGCATAGCAGGGAAGTCAGCTCCTCGGGTTGCGTGCGACAGGGCCCAGATTCCCCGAAGGAGGCAGGCAGGCACTCAAGGGCTGAAAAGTCGCGTGCTGAGGGTAGTTAGATTGCTGTCGCTGTTGCTGCTGCTACTGTTGCTGCTCGGAGATAGTACAAATGCTGGTCCTCCTTTCCCTGACACACGCGAGGCCCTGCGCTGCTTTTTTTCTTACGTCCAGCGATTCGTGATCTTTTTGACTCCACTATCCAACTCACGAGAAAAGCAGTGCTTAGTGGCTGGCCACTGACTCCTCTGATACCCTCACTCGCTTCATTGAATTCTCAGTGCACGTGAATTGGACATCTCACCATCTACCACCAAAGGTATCGGAAAGTATCAGCTACACATCTTGCCATCATGCCGAACCGGCCTAAGTTGGATCAGTTTGATATTCGACATGTGGATCGTCGGGAGCTATACACGGACTTCAAGAAGCGCATTGCGTATTTGAAGGCCTTCCTGAATCTGGTGGAAGGTGCGGTTTCTCCCTGATTGTTCCGAATAAGTTTCTGACCCGGGTTTGCCTACAAGATGATATAATCGTCTTCAACAAAGGCGCCAAGTACCTAAAGACGGCGATCCCAGACCTCACGCATCGCCTGTATTCCAAAATGCTCGAGTTCGACATCACAGCCCGCGCGTTACGGACCCGCAACACCGCCTGCCACGCGCACGTGGAAGATCTCTTCACCATCGACAGTCCGCACGTGGAGCGCCGCAAGATCTTTTGGAAGTGGTATTTGACCCGGCTGTGCAACGACCCGAGCCAGATGGAGTATTGGGAGTATTTGGAGAAGGTAGGGTGAGTCCTCCGGCTCTTTCGTTCAGATGTTGCGCGCCTCAGTTCGTTAACATGGCCCCTAAAAGGAGGATGCACACCGGTAAAGAACTGCTGCACCCGTTGAACATCGAATACATCCACATGAACGCCTGCCTCCGGTACGTAGAAGACGCGCTGATCGAGTGGATCTCGCTCCACCCGGAAATGACCGTCCGCTTCAAGTTCGCCCTCATCCGCGCCCTGAACAAGATCATGTGCATCCAGAACGACCTGATCTCGAAATGCTATATCCCCGCCGGGCAGGAGTATGAAGAGAACTCCGAGGAAGAAGGGCCCACGACTACGACGACGACGATAACAGCAAGAACAACAACGACGACGGCGGATGACCCCCGACGACGACCCAGTTTTGACATGATGGCTTCCTCGCCACATTTCCGCCCCCGCGCCGAATCCCAGGCCACCACCGGCACGACCGCCTCCAAGACAGCGAGCAGTATCCGCAGCGCCGAGACCCAGCTTTCGGCCCCTCTGGACAGCCCATATCCTGGGCATCATCCGAGTTGCCTAACCCCGGGGTTGGTGTCCTCGTCGTCGAGACCGACCTCCTCGGCGGGTGAGTCTCTGAGCGCGAAGAGCATGGCGACGGCTCCGACGGCGACGAATAGCAGCAGCCATGGTGATTTTCTGGCTGCTCGCGCGAGCTCCTCCACCCTGGATTCGAATCTGTATCCGATCACCCCGCCTTCCACGTCATCGAGTAGTAGCAGTCTGCGTCCGGCGCAGACGAATAATCTCTGGCGCAATTCGATGGTCGGGCTCGTGGCGCCGCTGACGGTGGAGTCGTTGCAGACGCTGGAGACGAAGATTTGGTCGGAGAGGAGTTGAGCAGAGGTCGTCGTTGGCTGGTGGCCCTTGGGTTCGAGGCTCGAGGGTGGTGGTTCCTTATTAATTGTACATAATATTTATTGATTGGGTATGGAACGGTCTGGTGATATTTTCGATCTACGGGGTGCTTGTTCTTGGGCTTTAGTGGTGAGTGTTGTTCTCGCCTCAGGAAGGATAAGATAAGGTAGGTTTGTCCTGGACCTCAGGAAATACTGTAGTAGTAGGCATGTATCAAAGAATGAAAATAGAGGCGAGGAGACTCAGGAGTTATACATATACGCAGATCAGTCACCCCTGATACTCATTTGCACAGATCCCAACTAGACCGAAGCGCGACTGTGCTACCCATATATCCTGGTCGACCGGTCCCATGTAGCCCTGCTAGTAGGACTACCCCTTTCCCCCAAACCGAAGCCTGTGCTGAAAACCAGATTAATTGTAGGAATTAAAACCACCCTGTTTGAACCGATAGGGAGGAAGATTGTCAACCCCATTCCATGGCTTTTTTTTGTTGTTGCTGCTGCCGTTGCTTGTGGGGGTAGGGCAGGTAGGTTACCGCGTCATATCTAGACTAGGTATTCGTTGGGGGTTCTATATGTACTTCTGGCTCGGTAGTTCAGGAGCTGGGGGTTTTTGTTTTTGTGTTTATTGTGTGTGTGCGTGAGTATTTATTCATATATATATATATATATATGTGTGTGTGTGTGTGTGTGTGTGTGTGTGTGTGTGTGTGTGTTGTATTGCACATGAAGGCCTTGTCTGTAAATATCCTCTCTTCTCAGTTTGATTCCAAGCGGGAGCAGGGATTACTTACTTACTGACCCTTTGCTCGGTTAGGGATCTAGTTTAGAAAAGGTCTGTGGCGCTGCGTATTGCGGATTCATTCTCCAGTGTGGATTTGGTAAAGGGTGGGCTGTAGGGTGGGTTTGGGGGTTGATATAGACTATACTATACTAGGACACTGGTGGAGGGCGCTGTATACTGAACAGTGAGGTGAATGGGTGGGTGTGATTGTTGTAGCGACTAGCTAGGTAGCTGGGTTTGGGGTAGGTGTATGGTTTAATATGGTGGTGGAGTATGGGAGCTGCATACATATCCGGAGATTTCGTTCGTTGGTGCTGCAGCGGACAAAGGATTGTCTACTAAGGTGCTAGGGCAAGAGGAGAGGCCTGTCGGTCTGCGCTATATGATTGTGGTACTTAAGGTACCTGGGTATAGAGGCAAGTGTGGAAGAGGTTTTGTTTTTGTTGCTTGGGCGATGGATGTATTGTCTGCACTACACTGTGTTCAAGAAATTGTTAGTCGATCTTGCGGCTTTGTGGTTCTTTTATTGGTGGTGTTAAATAGCTTGATAGTGTGCATCGAATTGAATTTGTCAGGTTAGGTGTATACCTAACGAGTTCTATGTGTGTATTTAGATATAAATATATACCCGGTACAATCAAGAAGATGCTTGTCGCTTGACGCAGCGCTATAAATTCAACTTGATGGACAAATCTACCAGCTACACAGACTAAATTACCAGACGATGCTGGACCAGGGCAATACCATCTGGATATATCACTACCATGCACCCGCATCTACCCCGTAAGTGCTACTTCTCCATCGCACCAGGACCAGTCTGCATATGCTTCAAGATCATCCTCAGACGTCGTACAGCAGGGCCATCCGCCTCCTGGCCATCTGAGCCCCCCCTGTCCTTGGACTGTAGCTCCTGGGCGGCGGCCTCCAGAGTAGGTTGCAGGTAGCCCCATACCTCGTCGTGGTATCGCTCCTCCACCCCGAGCCAGTCCGCTGCGCCTGGTAATCCCGTCAGGACCGCGTCGCGCAGGGTCACGGCGTCTGCATTGGCTGCTGACGGGACGGACTCGAGGAAGCTGCTAATATCAGGAACGAGACTATGCGGGTTTACGTGGTTGGTAGTGTGTGTGTTGATGGTAGAAGTGGGAAGCACGCGACGAAAAGACTCGAGAGCCTGGATCTCCGCGGGGGTGAGCTGGGCTGGCGCGGAGAGTTCGGTCTCGATTATCTCCGCTGGCTCGTTGGCGGACGGGGGAAAGTTGGGGTCGAAGGTCAAATCGGAGAGGAGGGAGACGACTGCGGCGCCGTCCGACGGAAGGGCGGACGCTTGTCCGCCTTGTTTGTCCTGAGACAGACCCCCTGCACCGGCAGCATGATGACTCGGTGTCCATCTCCCCTTGCCTTTGCCCGTGTCGACTGTGCTTAAACCCGCGGCAGCTGGGGCAGTTGCTGCAAGGTACATTCCATTGCTGCCGTTGAGGGATTCTCCCGCATACGTGCGCTGGAATTCATCTTCTGTGAGCGAGGGAAGCTCGAACCCTCCGGCGTGGGTGGTGAGCGATGATCGGAATGCTTCGAATCGTGTGGCCGGTGCTTGACCTGCTGTCCGTGAAGAATTTAATCCGGTGGCTTCGTGATATTGTTGCGCTGCTGATAGGGCGGACTGTGAGGAGGACGAGGCGGACGAGGCTTTACCACTGCCGGCCAGCAATTGAGCGGTCTCTGCAGAGGGCTGGCCCGAAGTGGAAAACACATTTTTGGCGAGTCCAGACGCGGAATCTTGGATGCGACTGGCTAGCGAACGGCCATCCTGGTCGTCTTCGTTGGCCCCGGCGGCGGAGGATTTGGGCTCGGGCTCCTTGCGGTGAGGGTCGGCGGGTTTGTCGTCACTGTTGCCCCGCTTCTGGTTGTCGGGCATGGTTCGTGACGAGCGGGGAGAGAATAGGTGGGATCAACCTATCCTGTCAATGAGTGTGGCGGGAACAAACAAAGAGATCGGCCGATAAAGAAAATCAAAACTGTCACCAAACTGTCACTGAATTAGTTTCTCCCGCAAAAGCTATATAGTACGTCGTAGTGTAGTCAGTGTTCGGCTCAACGGCGTCGCCGTCGGTCGGGATCCATAGAGAGTCGAGAAAGACAAGCATGTGAAGAGCCTCAGGCCGCCCTCAGGCCGCCGGGCTGGTGATGGAAAGAAACCCTGATTCTCAAGGCAGCTAAAAACGCCCGATGGGGAATTTGGTAGTGGGAGTCTGAAAGCTGAGCATTCGCTCAAGTCCGTCACTTTACTCAAGCCCGAACGGATCCTCCGGTCATTGTGATGGATGAGGAAAGATCCTTTGCAGCTGAATGGTCAGTTATTTTGCATCGTTCATTGTTAGTAATGGCCATCGTAGTGATTAGTTAGCTTGGTGGTAGTCTGGAAGTTCTAGCTACAACACGGCCGGGTGCAGAAGAACAACCAGGAAGTGGACGGATGCTTGAATAGAATAAGGAAAAACGGTTGAACAACAAGAGTAGAGGCAAAGAGCAATAACAAAGGTAAGACAAGATAAACCTTCATGAAGAACTGAATCATATTTCAACACAAAACCCCCAAGATGGTGGAAGATTCACTGATCTACTTCGTACCTTATCAAAACGGTCGAAAATGAAAACGAGTGGTTGATGTCAGCGCCCAGCTTAAGTTACTCTGAGTAAGTTGGGTTGGGTTGACTTGTTGTTGCGTGTGGGTTTTTAGAATTACGGGCAGCCACTCCATCCATCCTTTCCTTACTCACTTAACTACCCTCCCCACCAACTACCACCAGTCCACCACCCACCACCGACCGACGGGCGGGTGTTTCCAAACCACCGCCTCACCTCAACCACATACACCAGCACCAGCACCAGCACCACTACTACCACCACCGCACTTCACTCCTCCTCCTCCTCCTCTCCTCCTCCATCTTGCCCAGTATCGTCATCCTCTTCCTTCCCACTTCCCCTCCTCCTCTCCTCCCCCCCTCCCCATCCCGCATTTTCAACTCCCACCTTCTCTCTGCTTTTCCACTATTTTATCGGCCACTCTATCTGGCCGGTTTCAGCCGTTTCCTTGAGATTTCTTTCTCTTTCTCATAGATAATCCCGCCCACTCCAATATTGATGCACCCGAGAGAAGGGAGTTTGAGGCACGACTAAAATCCCACCCCCACGAAAAAAAAGACCACCAAAAAACTCCTCTTCTTTCCTCCATCTTCTGGCTTCTGATCTTGTCAGCTCTGGCTGCCAATCTTTCGTCTTCTCCAGCATACAAGTGACTCACCCGATCTCTGCCAATTCACCTTCTCGGCGGATATCACGGTCTCGATTCCTTTCCTCTCCGCCCGTTGCATTTCCTACCCGAGCATTGGAACCTACCTCATCCTCACGCAAACTTCATCCTCTTAGCGTAACTTGTCGTCGTTCCTACGTGACTCGCATCAATCGATTCCTCTCTCTAGTCGCCCACCACATAGATCTTCGCGTGAAAAGTTCTCCCGCTCGAGTCTCTCCGCACCATATCAATATCGGCAAACCCCACCTTGATTTTCTCAACCCAAGATCCTCGACCTGTGGATCTTGACATCTTCCTTCGTGCTCTGCTGGACACTGCCCCGACAAAGGGTAGAATCGGAAGAAAATGGTAGACAGGGATCCGGGTACTCCTACCTGGAAGTTCACGCAGTAAGTGCCATTTGCCAAGTATCCTCTTCCATGGAGAGGCTTCCCTCGAGCCCGCTGCGACCCTCTTTCCCCATAGTCTTGCTGTCTGGCAAGGATTTTGATATGCCGGCGTGGAGGCGCCTCCTTCTTCGTTTGGTATAATTCGTCTTAGTTCGTGGTACTAACCCCAACACTAGGTGCTTCGGTGACAAAGGAGATGTTGAGGATATTACGGAAGGTACGCCTTTAGGACTCATTTCCATGCATTTGCCTCTCGGAAGACCTTCCGTACTACGCTCTGATGGCCTCCGCCGGATAACTGACCCTTTCCTGTTGTCTAGCTGATATTATCTCGACTGTCGAGTTCGACCATACTGGAAACTATCTAGCTACGGGTGACAAGGGCGGACGAGTGGTGTTATTTGAGAGAAACGAAACGGTACCGGCTTCCACAATCTCCTTTGACGACGGTCGGATCTAATCTAATGATACGCGCAGAAAAAAACTTGTGAATACAAATTCCACACCGAGTTCCAATCGCACGAACCGGAGTTTGATTACCTGAAATCCCTGGAGATCGAAGAAAAGATCAACAAAATTAAATGGTGCAGACGGCAGAATGCATCTCATTTCCTCCTTTCGACGAACGATAAGACGATAAAGTTGTGGAAGGTGTTCGACAAGTCTCTGAAGGTCGTGGCGGAGAACAACCTCTCGAGCGAGCTGACTCCCGCGGGTGTGGGTGGCGGCGGCGCGCCCCGTGCGCCCCGACTGAATTTTAAGGACCCTTCCATGTTGAAGCTTCCTCGGATGACACATCATGATACGGTCGTGGCCGCTGTTCCCCGAAGGACCTATGCCAACGCGCATGCGTATCACATCAATAGCATCTCCGTCAACAGCGATGGGGAGACTTTCATTAGCAGCGATGACCTCCGAATTAATTTGTGGAACCTGAACATCCAAGACCAGAGCTTTAACATCGTCGATATCAAACCGGCCAACATGGAGGAACTTACGGAAGTTATCACAGCTGCTGAATTCCACCCAGTTAGCTGCAACTGGTTTATGTACGCCAGCTCCAAGGGCACAATCAAGCTTGCCGACATGCGGCAGCGAGCATTGTGCGACGAGCACTCTAAGCGTATGTCCCTGCCACCTCTTCTTGCTAAACCGCGTCTTGACGTACGTCTCTTCTAGTATTCGAACAAGAGGAAGACGCCTCCTCCCGTTCTTTCTTCTCCGAGATCATCTCCTCGATTTCAGACGTACGATTCTCGCACGATGGCCGATACATCGTGTCAAGAGACTACCTGACCGTTAAGATCTGGGATGTCAACATGGAGAGACAACCTGTGAAGACGATTCCTATTCACGAGCACCTGCGACCCCGCCTCTGTGACACCTACGAGAACGATAGCATATTTGACAAGTTCGAGGTTGTATTCTCGGGTGACGCGGAGAACGTCATGACCGGAAGCTACAACAACAACTTCATGATCTACCCCACCGACCAGAGCAAGGAGACGGAGATCGTGCTACAGGCCGACAAGTCTGCTTTCAAGGCTAAGAAGGTCGGTGTGCCGACACCGATGAACAAGGGTGCCAATGGAAAGAAGAATGGGTCTAGAGCTGGTAGCCCGGCCGGCCCTGGCAGTCGGATGAAGAAGGAGACCGATGCGGACCAGATCGATTTCAACAAGAAGATCCTGCATATGAGCTGGCATCCTTATGAGGACAGTATTGCTATTGCTGCTACCAACAACGTGAGTCCATTTGCCCCTGCACTCTGTGGTGTCCATTTGCTGACTGAAGCGATAGCTCTTTGTCTTCTCCGCACTGTAAGTATTTCGACCAGGTGGCTATAATCATAATTGGACAGGGCGTGTCAGTATGTGAAACAAAGCAATCATGGGACAGATATGAGACAAATGAAACTCCTAGCAGCAGCATCTGAAGATCCAAAATTAAGTTGCCAGTTCAAGTTCAAGCCTTTCCCCTTTCGTTTTGTTGGAGTTTGGTCGCGCAGTGATGTTACAAGTCTTTTGTCCGTCTGTTTTCCACACTTGCTGTCTGTGAGCTCTCGGATGCCATGTTGCTTCCATATTTCCTTTTACAGTGAACCCAGTGATGCTTGATGAATCTTTTGGGAGGCGTTCAATGGTTTGATAGAGAAAGACTACGTGGTACCTCCAGAGGGTTTGTTATATGTTCTCCTTCTCCCTTTTCTGTCCCCTACCGGCCTCCTTTAGAAAAATGGACCACGCTACGACGAGATATCCCGGAAAGTGGAGGGGGTGACCGTGTTTCTCTACTCAGCGATGTGTTCGGAATGCGCGATGTGCGCCAGGGCTTTAATCGACCCGCTTCCACTGTGGCTAGAGCGGGGATTCAGTAGTTCAATTAGTAGTCAGAAGTAGTCAGAATCTACTTAGTGTCACCATATATCACATTGGCTGGCAGTATGGGGTCATAATTAATACGAGGTAGTTGTAGAATATGCCGGCAGGTCAACAGTGTTGTTGCTGGTTGGTGCTATTGTAGGACGCGGATAAGTCGGGCGTGTCAACGCCGGATTGATCAGGTCAATGACGTCGGGAAAGTCAAAGCCCGACTAGCCGGTCCAGGCACTGCTGCGTCATGCATCCTGGACCAATCACTTTTTTCACCGCCTTTTCCGGAACATCCTTCTATCCGAAGGGTGACGCTATCGCCAAAGATGGCTTAGCGCGGTCAAATGCCTCTCCGCCTTCACTCTGGAGACCAGCCGTGATCGGTTGCGCGCAAACCATCACCACGGATCTCGCTCACTACTGAGGAGCTAAGACTGTCATTTTGTGGAGCTTTTCTCGTTGTCGGTTTATCCTCTTTCATTCTGCCTTCTTGCAATTCTATCCCTGCACAGGCCTGTCCCTATTTCCCCTATCTGCAGCTGGCAGGCATCGGCACAGTGATGTCGCTGTGAAATTGAGTTGGGAGGAACAGAAAGTCAAGCCCCCGTCCGAAAGGAAAACAGTGTTGGAGTCCCCAACACCATTTTCCTCACAAGCAAACCATTCTCTCTGCCTGGTCTGCCACAGACCTATTCTTCGCCACATCAAGGCATATTGCTGGAATCCTCTTCATGCGCATAGACCATGAACTCTTCTGGGAACGATAACTGGCACCCCGGTGGCCCGCCAGCGCATCCGGGGATGGACCAGATGAACCAACAACCTCGTCCCATGGGCTCAT